AGGAGCAGACTGAGTCTCCTCAATAGTTTGAGATGTAATTTCGGGGCTACACACTCTAAAACATTAATATTCACTTACAAAACTTTTATTAGACCTATTTTTGAATACAGATCCAATATTTATGCTACAATGCCAAAATCCGTCAAAGAAAATTTGTTAAGTCTAGAGAGGAGGATTCTGCGTAGAGTGAATGGTAGACGCAACGACTTCCCTCAGCCCTCATTCATCAATTATCTAATATCCAGCCCCTAAATGAGAGACTACACTCTCTGAGCAGAAGTTATACTACACGCACAATCCGGAGCCAAAACCTCAGAGCTCAACGCATCCTAAAAACTGTCTGCTCTACCCGTGGCAATGTATTCACCAGACATCCTAAACCAAAAATCCCACACCTCCCCGCAATTTTACTGGAACTAGCCAGTAACGAACTCCCTGATGAATACATTGATATACAGGAGGCAACTCCCCTCTATTTCCGTCGCATTCCTAGCTAAATTGCTCACTTCGAGCTTGCCTAGACAGGGGGGGATCGGTTTTCTGCGGTTTCCCGATCCCACTTGTAAATGATACCTGTCTATTGTGAGGATACAGCCGCAGCTGCCCTCTCGCGCCGCGTAACACATTTTTACATATTTACTAATTACTAATATTAATGCATGTACTTGTACATATATTAATATCTCATTTCTCTACACTTATCAATTAATAAATATTAATACATTAATTATTTTAGAAAACAATTCTGAAAAGAACCGACCACAACCCTTCTCCGCTGATTGCCCTGGCTAATCAACCAACAACCACCAGTGGAGCAAAGAAGACAGAAGAACCAGAAGCCGACCAACAACCAAACAAAAACCACTTCCTGAAGAGGCACCAGCCTAAAGCAGGAAGACAAAACCGCAACAAAAGAAACACACCTACCAAATAAGAAAAACCAACGAGACAATGGATCTCATCTCAATTCACGCCAGTTTTGCTTCCGCTCCCATATAGGTTTCCTGTACCTTGGGAGTCCGTTGTCGAGGCTCTGCTGTCGTTCTGCGAACCGCATGCCCTTCCTTCTTACGTGGTTATTATTTGTTTAGTATTAACTTAGTAATTAATTTAGTATTTTAGTTTATTAACAATCAACAAAAATAATTCTTCAGGTTGTGTGGTACTTAAGCTGTCCGCAAAAAAAAAAACAATAAAAACATGTATACAGATAAAATATTACTGCAACTTTTCTGAAATATATTCAAACAACTTTAAGTGGCGATTAACGGGTTAATATCTTTGTGAATAGATAAAATACCAAGTGTTACATATGCTCATATTGAGGTTAGGATTTCAATATTAATACAATAATCTACAGTATTTAATTATAAAATCTAAAGTTATAAATAATATCAGAAAAATGGAACTTCTGGCAACATTGCATGGATCAAATTCGACACCTTTATGTTGCAGAATACGCGTGTCCTATTTTTTGTACTATTCAAACCATCCACTTATTGGATAATTAGTTTCCAGACTTTTGGTCCACTTTCTATAATTATAGCTTTCTTATAGCCGTTCAAAGAGATAGTAAAATGTTGCTGATTTAGATGTTACGATATATGGGCATTATTACTTTAGTTATATGGAATGACCCAAAATAGTTTATGTCGATTGTTTTGTTAACTAACAATATCAAATCGTTGAGAAATTTTCTTAATTCAGCAGCTTCTAGATATAATGGTTATATAGGGTAAATACTTTTGAGAGAAGGAAGATCACGTTAGATGAAATTAAATATGCTATCAAAAACTCCAAAGACAATAATCCAAATTAGACAATATACCTGTAGAGCTGTAAAAACTTGTGAAAATGGATAGATTGAAAGTATTGGCAGATTTGTTTAACTTGGTGTACGATTCGGAAATGGTACCGCAAGAGTGGATGAAGTCAGCTTATATAACGATTTCTAAAAAATAAGTATCAAACTATAAGAACATATCTCTGATTGTGAACACTCAGCCTCAGGAGTCATACTTTAAAATTACTTCTTAAAGTAATACACAAGAGAATCTATGGAAAGTTAGATGATAAGATTACCAACACGCAGTTCGGGTTGCGAAATAGAATAGGTACACGAGAAGGACTATTTGCCATCAATATGATGATTTAGCAATGTCGGATGTAAATGTTAACCGACACTTGTGCTTTGTTGACTACAAAAAAGCTTTTGATATAGTAACACACGAAAATATAATATTAATATTTATGAATAAGCACATTGACAGTAAAATCATATAGATTATCCAAAAATTATAGTTAAACCGAAGAGAATAGTTCAAGTCAAGTTCAAGTTCAACAGTCAGAAGAAATAAAGATCTGTAGAGGAGTTAAACAGCGATACGTTTAATCACCGCTTTTGTTTAATTATAACCTGAAGAAATTTTCAAAACACATTCAATACTATCAAAGCGTGAGTTACCGTTAACGGAAAATTAATTAACAATTTACGACATGCAGATGACACTGTGATTATTGCAACATAGAAGACCTATAACATATAATCGAAAGCTTAAGCTGAGATGACAATTACTATAACCGCTAAAAAAACGAAATATATGCTAATTACAAGAAGACCTCAAAATATACACCACATATTAGCAATAAATGATAACGTGATAGAACAATCTTACTAAAACAATAGTAGTCAGCAATCCCAACCAAATTAAAATAAAAATTGATGGCATCAATATTGAACAAGTAATGAAAGTAAAATGCCTGAGAGTTATACTGTCTAGCTATGGAGATCTGGACAAAGAAGTGAGAGACCAAATGCAAAAAGCAAATAGATTGACAAGATGCCTTAATAGCACTATATGGCGAAACAGACACATAAACACTGAGATGAAGTCGAGAATTTATAAAATTAATGTAAGACCAATAATGACAAATGCTCCAGAACAAGACACGACACAGCCACAACGCAAACGCTACTGGAAACGGCAGAAATGAGAGTACTGAGAATAATTACAGGAAATACACTGAGAGATCGAATGAGAAGTGAAGACATAAAAAGAAAATGTAACGTACAGTGTATAAATGAATGGAAACAAAATAAAAAAAATGGAATATCTACATAAGCAGAATGGAGGATTCCCCTTGTGGTCAAAATAACAAGAGACAAGTCACCAATCGGCAGAAGAAGTATTGGACGACCGCACAAAAGATGGAGGGACAACCTTCCATAAAGGTAATAATCTGCCAATGAACAAGCAGAATTGCTTATAAAGAGGAAGAAGAAGAAGTGATAGAACAAGTATGAAAATATCAGTACCTGGGAACTATGATCAATGATACCAATAATCATACTGCAGAAACAAACGGCCGAATAGAGATAGCCAAATCAGAATTTATACGAATGAAGCCACTCCTAACGTACAGAAACCTTAATTTGGAAATCAGACTACGTACCATTCAACGTTATATATTTTCATTTTTATTATATAGAGCAGAGACTTGGACATTAAAAATTAAATTTAAAAAGAATCGAGGCTTTCCAATTTTTTTTTAAATCGCAGAGTATAAAAAATAGCACGGATTGATAGAATTACTAATAAAGAATTACTGAAGAGAGTTGATAAAGAAATTTAATTAATCTTCTTCTTCTTCAAGTGCCGTCTTCGTTCCGAAGTTTGGCTATCATCAAAGCTATGCGTATTTTTGATGCTGCAGATCTAAACAGTTGGTAATTGGTGCAATTGACCATTCTCTCAAGTTTTTCAACCATGAATGCCTTCTTCTTCCTATAGATCTCTTTCCCATTATCTTCCCCTGTATAATCAATTGCAGCAACTGGTATTTATCTCCCCTCATAACATGTCCCAAATATTGTAGTTTGCGCTTTTTAATAGTAAGTATCAGCTCTTTCTCTTTCCGCACTTTAATTAATCACAACTATACAAACAAGAAAACTTTAATTCCTAGGCTTCGTGATGAGGGGACCAAAATATGAAATTTTAAGACTCATTATACAGGGAAAGATTCAAGGAAAAAGACATGTTGGCCCAAGATAAAATTCTCGGTTAAAGAATCTACGTGATTGGTATCAATGTAGATCAATTGATTTGTTAAGAGCAGCAAATTTAAAAATAAAAATAGCTGTTATGATGGCCAACCTCCCTGGGGAGACAGTACACTAAAAAGAAGAGGTAAATCTTGTAGCACCCAAACATACTCTCACAACAGTATTTTTAAAAGTGTCAATTTTTATTAGAAGAATTTTGAAAGTGTAACATGCAGAGAAACACCGTAATTTAAGATGGACCATGAATGTGTGGGATAGAACAATAAAGATGTTTTTACGTGGCAATCCCCAGTTATTTTTGATTTACTTCCATATTCGTTTTTCGCATATGATTGGGCCAAGATATTTGACACTTAAGTAGAAATATTGAATATTTAGAATTAAATTTTGTTTTGTCGAAATATTATGTCTTGTACAGATGTGTCTATACCGCTGATTTACTGATAAATTAAAACCATATGGAGATGGAATAAAAATATTAAAATATGTTAATATTAGGGACACTCCAACTACATAAACGCCACAGAGAGTACATAAGAAAAATGTAAAACAAAACTTTGTGTGTTAGTTTTGTTTGCCTTCTTTAGTTTTAATTTTTTCATCATAACTCTCACGTGATACGAGTTCAGTTAAAAAATAAACCAAATACGCAAAAACCTGTTTAAACAAAAACAATTTTTAATTATTAAATTTTACAGGTTAGCAGTGTTTGTTAAATCTACGAATAAGTAAATTTTTTGTCTTACCCCATTAAAATAGCCATCATCACCAAGGAGGATGTCATCTTCGCCATAGTTGCTTGAAATTCCTTCATCTACTGATACCGACAATTTTAATTACTACTTCAATAAGTAGTTAATATATTAATTATTATGCAAATTATAAGATAATGTATTTTTTTAATTAGACTACTTAAAAATAAGATCACTATCGTTCAATTGTCGTTGCTACTGTATAAAGAAAGAACATTTAAATTAGTGATAAAGGGCAATGTTTATAGTCCAGTCGGAATAGAATTTAGATAGATAGATAGTTTATTTGACTATAACTTACAACGAGGTTTATAACAAGTCAACAGTACAAAATTATAAATATTAAACATTACAAACAATGGAACAATAGATTAAAAATATTTAAAACATTAAAATACATATACAAAATACAATATAGACATCACAATATAATTAGCCCTCAACTGGTATGATGGGTCAATATTGACCCGACCAAATTTAGTTTTATAATTTAACCAATAATGCAAACGGCGCACGGCACTGGAAAATTATGAATTCTCCTATTTTGTACGGTACTGTCAGTTGACCTCTGACTATTGTGCGTGTGGGCGACTGTTTTCCGAAAAAAATAAGAATTCGGGCTAGATTTGACCCAGTATACCTTTAGTGACATATTTTTGTTTGACTGTTTTACATAATGAACCGCCTCAACAGACCTCTTATGCAGCAAGAACTTGAAGAAGAGGCTTTAAACGCTTATAATTAGACTTCGGCAAATATGCAAATAAAAATGTAGAAAATATGCGCATAAATATGCACGTGTTTACCGAAAATATGCAAATATTTTACAAAATATGCATACAAATAAATAAAAAAATCGTAAAATAGTAACAATTTTATTTAAAAAAAAGTGTACATAACTAAATATTTCCTACTATTCATTAAGATTTACATTTATTTTAAGTAACTACATCATTTTTAAGTATGAATAAACTTATTTAGAATTATGGTAACAATAAATGACCAAGTGGTGTTCAAAATTTTCTAACAAAAACTTGTGGCTTCTGTCTGAGTACATATATTCATATATGGAAAAACTTCGTTCAACATCAACTGATGTAACGGGAGCATTTTTCAAACTAACCAAAACATTTGGTTCTAAATTAATTGTTTCCGAAATATTTCCAGCTAGAACACTGACTACTTCAGAAAGAATATGGTAACCTTTATTTTTTTTCCATAGTAGCTTCAAATTTTTTTAAAATATTTTTTCCAATATTACCTCTAACGTTCCGACAACATGACGCAAATTCTTTTATTAATGCTGTACTTTCGAACAATGACAGTTTTGGTGATTCTAACTGAGTAATTGTTTTTTGAACAAAACTAAAATTTCATTTTATAAATGAAAGTTCTTGTTGAAGCAATTTACTCTGAAAAGTTTGTTTAGAATTAAAAAGAGATTGGGAACTTTCATCTGTTAACGTATCAATTATGTTTTTTATTTTAACAAAATGATCTGCATGAAAATTAGCTGCTTCTAACCATGTTCCCCATCGCGTTAAAATAGGTTGTGGTGGAAGAGGAATGTTAGGTAGCATTTCTTATAAAGTTGAATTCTTATAGGAGATTTAAGAAATACTTTTTTTGACACTGGATATCATGGTATTTACAAGAGGAAACTTTTTTCGTATTTCCTCTGCAACTCTGTTTAATCCATGCGCTACACAAGTAACATGTATTAAATCTGGGAAAAATATTTTTTAAATTTTGTCCTGCTTTCACCATATAAGGAGCAGCATCCGATTAAATAAGCAGTAATTTATTAGAAGGAATAGTTGTCGGAAGAAAAAAAGTTGCTAATGTTTCTTGTATAAAACGCGAAATTGTTAAAGCATTTGTTTTCTCAAGTTGCTGGCATGAAATAAGATGAGATTTTGGTAAGGTATCTTCTTTAAGAACACCAATCAATAAATGGGCAATATACTTTCCTGAGGAATCAGTGGTTTCGTCTACAGATATGTAAAAATAATTATCTGCAATTTCTTCCTTAATATTAATTAACACCGACGAGTATAGCCCGTTCACATTATTTCTTCTTAGAGACCGATCTCTTGGAACATTAAGTTTGCAATATTTTTTTAGAAACGAACTAAAATTTACATTTGCTAATTTTGAAAGTGGTATGTTTGCAGACACTAATGCGCGACACAAGTCTTCATTAAAAGTTTCTTGCTCATCTAATTTTTTTGAAGTAGATTGGAAACAGTTAGCCATTGAAGTTTGATGTTTTCCTCCTATTTTTCCTTTTTTTGCAATGTGTGAAGCAGTTCTCACATGTTGGTCTATCTGAAATTTCTTCTCACATGCTATCTATAAATAAAAATAAAAACCTTTATTTTAACCCAACCTTTAAAATATAAAAATATACAAGGTGTTTTTGTTAATCAAATAACTGGTTTGAAAAAAAAAAACACTTGCTAAGTGTTTTAAATGCAGTATTTAATCCACAAATTAGTTTTTGTTACTAACCATTAGTACATCATATAACTTATTTTAAAATTCAACAAAAGTTTTTTTTTTGTTAATTCAATTACAATAAAACTAATTGTTTTTAGAATAGCTGACTTCATAAAAAAAAGTAAAGGTGAAAATTTTTCTAAATACACACCATTGTATTGTACCATGGACAATTTTTTCTCACTAAAGGAAGCTATTTTTCATTTAAAAACAACCTACGAGTACTAAATTTCAAGTAAATACGTTTATTGGTTTTAAAGTTATTGTTGTTATTAACTAAAAGAATTTAATTTTTTTTTAATTTTAACACCCTGTATCTCGAAAAGTAAATAAGTTTGACCCCTCATTAACGATATCGTTTTGTTCAATTTTTCGAGAAGTATCTACAGTCAAACGTTATAAGTGTCATTTGGAAACACCCTGTATGTATGAAATATTAGATATTTAATAGAAAATATTAGATACTTACAATTTTGCCACAGACTGAACAGTAGATTTTTCCCATATCCATAGACAGCTCTTTATAAGGTTTAATCCAAGATGAAGCACTGGTTGTTTTAGGCATTATAAAATCACAATCTTCCTTTTTGTTACGCACAACGAGTGTTTACGCTTTGAATATCAAAACAAAAATGATTTACAAATCTGAGCATCAAATTAGAAATGTTTAGGTACCTAATTCAATAAACTGGGAGATTTTGGAAAATCCCTAAATTAGGAACAAAACTATTAGCCGTTTACCTGCTGTTAAGATACAATAAATTGTAGATAGATTTGGGGATTAGATCATAAAATGCAAATGAGCGAACCCTTATCGATTATCCAATAACTGAATGCCTCAGTGACCGAGACTTTCTAAGAATGTTGAGGGCTACTTAAATTGATCTTCTTTGAAATTGTAAATGTTTTGTACCTGTAGAGATTACGTACTTAGATCATTTGTTGATTAAAATGACTACAAAATTTTATACAAGAATTGAAATAAATTGGTATGTTTAAAAATTTTCAAATACAGTATAAAAATCTGAACTTTTATGCACTTTATGCAAACTTTTATACAAATATGGCAAAATATGAAATATTTGCATAAAATATGCACAATATGCAAAATATGCAATATGCATATTTGCCGAAGTCTAGTTATAATAGTGACTATTCGTGTGATGAGAGCGAGTTAGGTGATCATAACAGTGATTCAGTGTTAGAAGAATCAGAAAAGGAGCAAGCTGAAAATGAAATTGTTGAAGAACAATCCGCTACGGTTGAAAAAGATGAAAAGGAAGAATTAGAGGTAGCAGGGCAGTATTTTATTAAAAACAATAAATACAAGTGGTTAAAAATACCTCCAGTCTGCGGAAAAACTCGAAAAGAAAACACAATCAGAACACGCATACCTGCGGTGATAGGTGATGCATACAGAAATAAACCAGCCGAACCAATACCATCATGGAATTTGATATTTGACGATCATATGCTAGATATTATAATAGAACATAGAAATGAAAGAATTACTGATCCGACAATGTCTTATGCTGATAGGGCCCTAAACTGTCAATTTACAAAACCATATAGAAAAAGCTGAAATGAAAGCTTTCATTGGTCTCCTTTTACTGTCTGGTGCTTTTAAATCCAATAATAAAGATGTAAGTTCGTTATGGGCGACATTTTTCGCGCCACTATGACACTAAAACGTTTTTGTTTCTTATGCGCTGCGTTGGGCTTTGATAGTAGTGTCACAAGAAATTAACGAATCCAGAATGGCGATAAACTTGCCGCTATTTCAGGAATATTTAACCTTATGATTGCCAACTGTCAATCAAATTCTGCTTGTGGTCAGTTGATGACTATTGATGAAATGCTGGTGGGGTTTAGGGGAAGGATTTCGATATAAAATGTATATGCCGAATAAACCAAATAAATATGGCATAATGGCAAAATTAATGTGTTTGTGTGATGCTAAGACACATTATTTATTGAATGCGTTTATATATGCTGGAAAAGATGATTCTCCCAATCCGAACAAATTATCAATTCCTACACTTAACCTTTTTCAACTTGTACAGCCTATTGTAAACAGTAATCGAAATATCACGGCTTATAACTGGTTTTCATCAGTTGAATTGGCAAATGAATTTAAAAAATGTGGACTAACGTATACAGGAACATTGCGAAAAAACAAAAAGAAGTTCCCCCTGAATTTTTGCTAATAAAGACCGCCCCGCTTTGTCAACAATTTTTGGATTTACAAACGATCTAACACTCCTATCATATGTGCCTAAAAAGCGTAAAGCTGTCATAATGCTGCGTTCACTACACCATACAGCTACAATAAAAAATAGTGAAAAAACTTCCCGAAATTATAAATTTTTATAATTCAACAAAAGAGGAGTTGACAGCGTGGACCAAAAATGTGCCTGTTATAATGTAGGTCGAAGAAGTAGACGTTGGCGACTGATGATATTTTGCCACAGCAAAATATCATCTCTCCATTCGCCTTCGTGTTACTGTCAGTTTTTCGGCAGTAGCTTCCGTTAAAGTTAGGGTCTCTGCTCCATAGGTCAAGACTGGTAAGATGCA